AGTAGGAATAAATGAGAAAGTAACCCCACATTAGAGACTGAAAGTGAGTTTAACCACCAGAAATGTTCTTCTAACAAGTCAATTTGATACACAAGAATTATACATTAAATATATACAATGTCACATTTCCCTTTACCAAAGTAACACAGTAGAGGTCCTGTGCTATAAAACATTGCCGCATAAATTCTCATTTGGTCAATCAATGAAATTGTGATGTTCCTATTGTCCTTGGGAACATATTATTCACTTATAGTTTAAGAAAATTTATGTGGGTGTTGTCCTCTGGAAGTTTATTGCTGACATCTTACTTGTATAATTCACTTCACCATTATCATGCAATTTATGTTACCTATTCCTTTGAATTGTTTTTTTGATTCACTGATAATTTTAAAACTATTGTCGTTTTATGTCATTATAAAATAAAAGAAAAATTTTAAAATCTGACTTATAGTCATTGCAAGTCAATAGCAAACTATGGAAGTGGTGTTTCCAGGCTTCTTTCACATATTTTTTTTCAAAACAGTACAGTATTCTTGGCAACAAAGCAAGCAAAACTAGGGTTAATAATTCCTTCACAAATGCTTTGTCACTTCACTTTAAAAATGGTATGAACAAATGTTTTCTTACAGAGTTATATGATACTTTGTTTATGGGACAGAAATGTTCATTTGCAACTACTCCAATTTGCTGTTGAAGCAAAACATATGTGAACAGTATAAGTCTCATAGTTTCCTGGCAATTTTTTACATTACATATTTCAATTATCAGTTTTTAGTGAATATATTATTTAAATACTTCTCATCTTCCATGTGTGTATTAGTAATTCTGTTTTTTATGAAAACATGTATATTTGGTAAACAAGTGTTTTTCTTTTTAAAAATTTATAAATTATTTTTTTATTACCGTTTATTCACTTTGTATCCCAGTTGTAGCCCCCTTCCTTCATCTCCACCAGTCCCACCCTCTTTCTTTCTTCCCACCCTGCCCCTCTCTTAGTACACTGATAGGGAGTTTCTTTTCCCCTACTCTCTGACCCTAGCCTATTAGATCTAATCAGGACTCTCTGAGTGAGTCCTATTTCTCTGGGGCCTAGTAAGGCCTCCCCACTAGGGGGAGGTGATCAAAGAGCAGGCAATGGAGTTCATGCCAGGGACTGCCCCTGCTTCCTCTTACTAGGGCACTCACATGAAGACTGAGCTGCCTATAGGCTACATCTGCACAGGGGTTCTAGGTCCTTTCCATGCAGGGTCCTTGGTTGATTCACCAGTCCCTGCAGGACCCAGTCCGGGGCCCAGATTTTTTGGCTCTGTTAGTCTCCTTGTGGAGCTCCTGTCCCCTCCAGGTCTTTCTATCTTTCCCTTCTTCCATAAGACTCCCTACACTGATATTTTTCTTTGTTCTTTGGGACAATCCTTAGGGGGGAAGAAAAGCTGTCAGAAGCATCAACTTTATGAAGAGTTGGACTACTAAAAGATAAACTGCAAACCTAAAACTTTCTGAAATAGAGATCCTTTTATATTATTGAGTATGAAGAATCTTCTGTGCACATAGTATTGTGCTTAATACAAATGGTGGTATATACATCTGATGTGTTTTTATTTATAAAATAAATGCCCAAAGCTCTGGAAACAAGAGCTATACAAACACGATATATATATCGTGTGTGTGTGTGTGTGTGTGTGTGTGTGTGTGTGTGTGTGTATGCATATATATCCAATGGCTGTGAGATGTTTATTTGTAGTTTACTAAAATAAAATTTTAGAAGCAGTATGGAACGGTTAATAAATTAACAAAAATGGTATATGACTACAGATATCAAGGGTTGATAAAACTGGGGCAAGATTAAATTTAAAAAGTGGTTGAGGAAATATATAAGGAGAGATTGGAAAGAAGAAATTAATGATCACTTTGAATAGACATACATCAAAATTATGGAACTTCTCTTAGAATGAAAAGCAAAGAATAGATTCAACACAAATGCAGAGAAAGACTAAACAAAATGTTGTGAGATTTAATACAAAGAAAGAAATCAGAATAATTCACTTAAAAAATGTTAGTAATTAACTCATGACCAGTTCTGAGCTACTTTCATGTTAGAACCCTAATTTTCTTTTAATTTTACAATTAGCATTTTTTTTTCAAGAAAGTCAATCTCTCTCTTGGTGGCATATGCCAGATGCCTATCTGTGGAATACAAGAAATAAAACCATCCCACCCACCAGTTTAACAGCTTGACTTAAGAAAACAGCTCTTCATGGGGGAAGACAAACAAAAACAAACTTAATGAGCATTAGTCAAATTAGAATATACGTTCAATTAATTACATCAAACTGTTTTGTAACACTGTGGAAGGGGACCTAGAAATTACTTTGATTTTATATCAAACAATAAAAACCCAACTTGTTTGAAAAGTTGTAATAATGATGCCACATTTAAGTTGGGAATGGTTGGTGGTGTACCTCTATAATCCTAATACTTAAGGCTATGAGACAGGACAATCAGAAGATTGAAGACAGCATGGATTATAGAGCAAGAATGCATCTCACAAAAAGAAAAAGGAAAGAAAAGAAAAAAACAGCAAGAATTTCTAAATGAATATTTGTTGCATATCTCAATTAAGTGTGCAGTTCTCTTTTGGATTGCATTGTTTGTAATTTAAATTTTTGAATTGCTAATTTGAAATATTGTAACTTCTTCTAGAATAACAAAATGAATAGGACATTATACAGAGTCCATGAAATCCATGTAGTTTTCATTCACCAGTATATTCTACATTGATAATATAATTAATGTATTATAAATTAATGATATTGGTTGCTTATTTTTATTAATTTTTTTATTTTTATATTAATTACAGTTTATTTACTTTGTATCCCAGCTGAAGCCCCCAGCCTCATTCCCTCCCAATCCTACCCTCCTTCCTTCATATCCTCCCTGTCCCTCTCTAAGTCCACTGATAGGGGAGGTACTCCTCCCGTTCCATCTGACCCTAGTTTATCAGGTCTCACCAGGACTGGCTGCAATGTCCTCCTCTGTGGCCTAGCTAGGCTGCTCTTCCCACAGGGGCTGGGGAAGTCAAAGAGCTAGCCTCAGGGTTCATGCCAGAGACATTCCCTATTCCCCTTATTAGGGAAGCCACTTGGATACTGAGCTGCCAAACCCTACATCTGAGCAGGGTTTCTAAGTTATATCCATGCATGGTCCTTGGTTGTGTTTTTTTTAAATACATCTAGCTATCACTAAACTTTCTACAGTTAAGAAAACAGACACTGTACTGTGCCAGTCAGAAGACTTAGTAGTTGGTACTAATTTTGCCACTCACAAGTTAAACAATCCTCTTGACATCTCTGATGTTCGTTTCCTTATCTAAAATGAAAGTATTATTTTTATTTGATATGTTTTCTATTAGATTGGATGAGTGTAAAACTTATACCATGAGTCTTTTTCATAGAGTCTTTTATTCAAATATCCTATACTATTTTGTTTACTCCGAGGAGTATTATCAATTAGCTGACATGTTTTACTAATCTAGACTGGCCTGAACAATAGCTTTGCTATCATGATGAAACTCTTTACAAATCTCTAGGGTTATATTTCCAAACACCAATGTTTTTGGTAAAACTACAGTTAGCAACATTGAGATCAATTAAAGGACATGCCTTAGCAGGGAAACAAAGGGAATCAATACACCGTCACTTAGAAATTGATTTAATAGACACTACAGAGAGTTTTTGTGTCTAAAGGGAACCCTGTTTGTTAGTCTTGTAAAGCCTCTGATAGATAGCTTTCTTCAAAACTTCGTCATTTTCATGCAACATTACTGTACCTACCTAAATAATTTTCCTGCAAGATTAATTTGGACAAATTAAAATCTTAAAAGCATTTTATGTTGCCCATATGTATTGATTGCATTTTCTACTGTAATAAAAGCAAACAACAACAATAATAATATTGGTCTACATTTGAATTTCTTCAAGTGTGGTCATTGCATTGTGATAGTGTAAGAGAATGCATTGTTGTTTTAATTTTATTTTTTACAGTTTATTCATTTTATATCCCGATTTTAACGCCCTTCCTCAACTCCTCTCAGTCTCCCTCTTCCCTCCTATCCATCCCATTCTCTTATTCCACTGAAAGGGGGAGTTCTCCTCCCCTGCCTTTTCCCCCTAGCTTATCATGTCTCATCAGGATTGCCTGGATCCTCTTCCTCTGTTCAACCACTTTTGAAATCAATCTGGTGCTTTCTTAGAAAACTGGGAATAGCCCTAGCTCAAGATCCAGCTATACCTCTCCTGGTCATATACCCAAAAGATGCTCCACCATTTAAAAAGGGTGTTGTTCTTAAAGTCATGACAATGTAAAACTTAAGAATGATAAGACCTATTTGCAACTTACTGTCAAACTGTGCAGAACACAATAATGAAGACTTGCTTCTGAAAAAGAAACCTTAGGGGAAAACAGATTGATCAAAGCTGCTATAATTTTCAATATATTGATCTAAGTAAAAGGTTAATGTGCAGAAACTATTTTTACTATTTCAATGCATCTATACATTTGAAACTTTTAAAATTCTTTTTTTAAGATTTCTGTTAACAGTTACCACATTCATATTTTCAAGGCATAAATAATTTCTAGATTTTTCTAGAAAAATATAAAAATTTTTATAATGTGTTTTTGGAGACAATCCTTATATCCAAATAGAAAACCTATTTTTTGTGCTTTCTTTTACCTCTCCACGTTAAGAAAAGCCATTAATAATTATTTGATTTTTTTAAAGACTGACAAGAAACCCTGAAGGTCACGAACTCCTTAAAAATATTTTTAAAGCATAAACTTGTACATGCAAACGTGTTCCTTAAAAAATTACTATAGAAACATAATTGGCAATTTGGTTATTTGACTTTCAGATCCATCTAGATCCATTCTGCTGCCTCATGCTTCATTTTCTGTTAATACAAAAATGACATACTCAAAATATAAGTGCTTTCTTGTTTGTTTTATAGGGGAGAGCACAAGCACAGCTCCTACCACCACTAATTATGCTTTTGGTTTCCCACACTGGGGGAAGCCAAAGTGTCAACACATCCCAAGTACAGTGATGATTCCCACAATAAAAATACCTTCTTGGTCATGATATTGCCCTGGCCAGGTGAGTATCCAAATACATGGTTAGTCCTATTAAAAACATGTTTATGTAAGAACTCAAATGTTTTTCTCTTTGAAAGACTGGTTCCCCCCATTACACATATTTGTTTAACGGGAAAAGAGATTCAAATATGGTTGAAATTTTAGTGTATTCCTTTGGTGCACTACATATATTAGCACTTATAGTTTAAGGGCATTTATGAAGTACTCTATATTTGTACTTATAAAAATGAATTAAATATCAATAAATATAGTACACTCAATACTCCATTCAGACAAATAATAAAGTATTCCTCACTTACTTTTCTGATATTGATTTAAAGTGGAATATCCAGTATATTTCAACACAAAGTAAGAAAATTTAGCTTGTGATACAAATAGAAAGTAAGACAAATTCACAGTGAGATTACAAAGTTTCAATGCAATTGTGTTTATTTAGTAAGGGTGAGTGGAATAAAACACTGACAGACTATTTTAAATTGCTGTAATCTTATTATTTGAATTCCAGTGAGCATAAAAGCATAAATACTTTGAAATATTTTTATTGAACTAAATTGAATTTATGAGCTAAATATAAGACAGTTTCTAACTCCCATATTAAAAGGTTCAGAAAAATCTCATATTTTGTTTTCTTGTTAAAATTAATTTTAAAAAAAAGACTCTTTTGATGACCTGGAAAGAACAAATTATAAATCCCCTATAACAAAGGACAATTTTCTTTTAATAAGAATCAACACATTTGCTAGTGTTTCAAAGTAAGTGAAGATAGATATTCAGGCCCAACCCAACTTATAATTCCACAAACATCTCTATGATTCACATATACCTGGAGAGTACTATTTGAGCATACAAAATTAAGTAGCTTAAGCTAAATAATCCATATCTGACAATTTGTGACTTCTAAAATGATTAAGTAGATAATTAGACCATAATTTTTTTTTTTTTTACAAATAATTGCCACTCATAAACTAATCAATGTAAGATAATTCTGTACTCAGAAAACATACATACTAATTAATGTCGACACTAAGTGTGTTCTGATGGTTATGTTTTGCTCTAATCTGGAAACCTTGAATAAAAAAAGATATATATGGGCACTTAAATTTTTTGTTAGCCACATTTCTTTTAATAAATTACAGAATTAAAGGGGCAAATAATTTCAAAAAAATGAGAAGAAATTTATACAGTGACTTTCTGATGTTTGAATTCACAACTAATCTGCTTAGTAATAGCTGACATCTTCTGATCCATAGTACTTAGTAGTGTGTTTTATTAATTACCTTAACCACAGAGTAAGGACTTGCTATAATCAAATGAGAAAAGTTTTTAAGAGCTGGCCACAGGTAATTGGGTCGGCTGATTCCATGTCTCACAAGGAAAGCAGTCTAAGTTTAGGAAAATCCTCTCATTCTCCCTGCCTCCTCCAGACAATGCACACATCAGTTTATCTTCAAGCGCTTTTAGAGACGTATGCAATCATTTCTTTATAGTCACGCTGACTTAACGGCCTTATAAGTGAGATAAATGTCTTAGGTTTATTTGATCAATATATTTGAATTATGCCTTCAGTGTCAAGATTGTAGTTTTTTTCATTCAAAGAAAGACTCAAAGATAAGCTATAGGGTAATTTGTTTCCTTGCACCATCTAGTGGATTTAAATGACAACTGCGGCAGTACTGTAAATAACTGCAAGTCAATCCTACACTTCAAATTACCAGTCCTGTGTGGATAGATAAGCCTAAAATCATTATCCGATTGATTCCACAACAGAGCAAGTCATCACGATTCCTCCTTTTACGGAGGGAATCAATTAAGCATAGGTGAACTCATTAGCGAACGTTTAAATCTGCAAACGAAATAACAAAGCAGCGTTGATGCGGTTGTATGAAGCCAGACAGCGGCAGGCATGACTTAGTTCTCGCCACTGGCTCCCAGAGACCAACCCCCCATCGCTCCCCTCCAGCGACCTGCGCCCTAGCCGCCGCCTCCGCGCGGAGCCACTGCGCAGGCGCCCCACGGGGCGGAAGTGGGGGGCGGGCCCAGACAGCCAGCGAGAGGAAGCAGCCCGAACGGCAGGGTGAGGCGCCGAGACGGTTTGGCGGTGTGAGTCGGTCCCGGGTGCAGCCTAGAATCCCGAACGTGAGTGCTGTCAGAGCCGACCGAGCGTTGGGGCTCCCGAGCGGCCGTTGCTGTCGCCGCGGACGCAGCCGTCGCCGACCCGGAGGACGCGGCCCGGAGAGGCCTGCAGGCCTAGCGCGGCCCGCCGAGCCCGCCGAGTCTCTTCCGTGAGTACCACCAGCGCACCCTGCACAGTCGCTTACCGGTTAAGATGGAGGAGATTTCGTTGGCCAACCTGGATACTAGCAAGCTGGAGGCCATCGCCCAGGAGATCTATGTAGACCTGATAGAGGATTCCTGCCTGGGATTCTGCTTTGAGGTGCACCGGGCAGTCAAGTGTGGCTACTTCTACCTGGAGTTTGCAGACACTGGTAGCGTGAAGGATTTTGGCATTCAGCCAGTGGAAGACAAAGGAGCGCGCCGCCTCCCGCTTTGCCTTCCTGGAGAATCTGACAGTGGGCCCCAGACGGAGCTGCAGCGTTCACCTCCAGAATTCCAGTAGTCACAACATGAGAGAGGGCGACAGTGACCAGGACAATAGTATAGACTGGTCCCGTGGCTTTGGAGGAGTAAGCTAAGTTGGAGAGAGAGAGAGAGAAAAAAAAAAAAAGGAAAAAGAAAAAAAAATCGCAAACAAAAGTCCCGTTTCCCCTTAAAGATCTTAGTATTAACAAAAACACCAAAAGAGGAGAATTTAGGAATTCGGATCCATTTGACAGGGTACCCAGTGCCAGCTGACTCTGAAATACTGGACAGAGAAAGCCCACAGGCATCATGCTGTTTTTTGAGCTCTGTAAATACATCTGGATATACAAGATCCCTGTACTGCCCTCAGTACACACGTGAGCAGCTGAGAACCCAGCATATAAAATTCTTTTGTTTCTCAGATTTTGCATCTGCATGATGTCAAGGGCTTCCTGCAAAGTTTGGATGCTATTGATGGTGAGGCCACAATCAGCTACAGTGGACTGCTCCTCTGATTTCTGAGCCTACAATTAGGTCTCTTTGATACAAATAAAAGTCAGGTACGAGACTCGGATACTAAAAATATGAATTCCCGTTTGAATTTGGTAGGGAGCCCTTGTGACCTTGTCTACAAGAAGTTCAGAATCACCTGTTTTTCCAAAGGTCCAGCATTTTCAGTGATTTCAACTGATGTGGGGACAAGGCCTTGCCTTTGGCTCATCAAAGTCCCCTCTTTCCATCCCACCTAGTGGCAAAGGTTTGGCAGAGGACAAGGTGGTTTACAAACAGCTGAAGATTTTGTTTTGATGCTGTGAGGATGAAGTATACCTTCGCAAACCATCTCCACCTGAAGTTTCATGTCTTGAATTATAAACTGTGGACCTAAGTTTGGTGGGACAGTCTTTTCCTAGTTTTGAGTTACGGGTGATGTAACCAGCCCATGGGTCTGACTTGATTATTATGCCAGGTCATTATCCTCGAGCGTTACCACTGAACTGTAGAAGGGTGTCATGGCCAAGGAGGAGGCTGTTTGAAAATTGAGCCAGGAAGGAACTTTTTCTGTCTGCCGTCAGTAATGTGAATGAGTTTAATGTTAAAAGCCCTACACAGGCCTGCCTGGTATGGTTTCAGAATCCCGTCCTTAAATTGGGCAGTCAGACCTCTGCTATGGTGAATAAGACTGTCACCATCTTCTATGCCCTCAACAAGTGGCAGTATATCCCTTTGTCCTTCTTGACATCTGGGGTTGTCTTCTTTTTGGTGGAAGTTGGGGGAAAGACCTCCAAGATTTCCTGACTTTGGAGGCTGGGTTAGAAGTGGATGGGAAGTCAGTGGTATATCAAAACTGTCCTCTGTTTTATCCCTAAGTGGGGGTTTATGGAGGGTAGGAGGGTGGGAGTCCTGAGATGAGCAGAATAGAAAGGTGCTGCTTTATTTGAAATGTTTTCTTACCTCATTCTGTGCCCCAGTAAAGGGTCCAGCCTCATCTGTCTGGCTTGGCCATATTCCTGTCCCCTGCTCCACTGCCTATCTGGTGCAGCTCATGATTCCAGGTGCTGCTTGCCACTCTAGCTTTTATTTTGACCAGTTTCAATTCATCTTCCAGTGCTCTTGCCTCTGAAGCCTACAGAAATTTCCTTTTTCTATTTGTTTGGTTGTTGCTGTTCTCTTAAGATTTTAAGTTTTTATATTGTTGTTTTTCTTTTACCTGTTTTTGAAAGACTTGGAAGAGAATCCTCCCATGGCTCCCTCTGTTTGGATTGGAAAGGGAAAATAATCTTTTAATTTACAAGGCAGGGTCATGTGTGTTTCTCTTATATAAGACTGCCTTGCTAATATATTCCCCTGTTTTGTCATGAGTTGCATCAGTTCTTCCCATTGCTCTTAGATACTGCCTCTTAGGACTTACTGGAGAACCATGAATGCTGGTATACACAAGGATAGAGTTGGTTCTGCTTTACTTTTCTAACCCTGGTGTATGACTTCGCAAGAGCTTGTTGAACTTTATGGACTGATTTGGATTACTGTACTCAAGAGTTAAGAAAACCATAGTGATTGGGCCTTGAGACTATTTATTATTGCCTTCTCAGAGTTTTACAGCTCAGGGTTGGGGCCTAGTTACAGTTTGATGGATCCTCAGTCCAAAAAATTTGAGAACTTAAAAAGAATGAAACCTTGGCAGGAGCTAAAAATACTTTTAAAAGATTCCTTGCTATATGAGTTCTTTAAAACCTTCAGTGAATTCTGGAAGAAGCATTCTGAAACTCTTGCCTATTTAAAGTACTTGGGAAACATGATGTAAGGGAGGAAGGCCATGGCCCACTCACTCTTGCCTTCTGATAGGGAGCTCAAATGTGACTTGAGTATTTCTTTTTGTCCTTTTCTGGTTAGAACACAGAGATTTGGGTGGTAGTTTGGGGAAATGATTT